ATAGCCCATGACTTTTTGGAGCTGAATAATGCTCCATTGTATGGATGTAACAGAGTTTGTTTACCCACTCCCTTCTGAAGGACATCTCAGTTGCTTCTAATTTTGAGCAATTATGAAGAAAGCTGCTACAAATATTTGTGTTCAGGGTTCTTATGTGGACATACATTTTCAACCCATTTGGGTAAATACTTAGAAGCAGGGTGGCTGGATCTTATGGTAAGCCAATGTTTAACTTTGCAAGAAAACGGCATGTTGTTTTCTATAGTGGCTGTACCATTTTGCATTTCCCCCAGCAAAGAATGAGAATTCTGTTTGTGTACATTCCCACCAACAATGAATGAGAATACTGTTGCTTCACATCCTTGCCTATATTCCATGTTGTCGGTATTTTGAATTTAAGTCTTTTAATGGTTTGTAGTGGTGTCTCATTGTTGTTTCAATTTGTGGTGCAGTGCCTAAAGCATTTGGCTGCTAACCAGAAGGCTGGCAATTCAAACCCACCAGCCACTCCGTGGAAGGAAGGTTGGACAATCTACTTCCATAGTGATACCACCTTGGAAACCCAAGGAGGAGTTACTATGAGTTGAATCTACTCCATGGCAGTGAGCTTTTTTTTTCTTTTTAGTGAAATAATGTTGAGCATCTTTTCATATGCTTATTTATCTTTGAGTATCTTCTTTGGTGAAGTGCCTTTTTATACTTTTTGCTCATATTCTAAATGGGTTGTTTTCTTGCTGTTGAGTTTTAGGAGCTCTCTGTATATTTTATTTTATCAGATAAAAGACTGTGTTTTATAAAAGACTGTTCTATAAATATTATCTCCCAGAGTGTGACTTGTCTTTTCATCTTCTCAACAGGGTTTTTCACAGAGCAGACATTTTTAGTTTTAATGAAGTCCAACTTAACAATTTTTTCTTTCACTATCTAAAAAGGCATCACCAAACCCAAGGTCACTTAGATTTTCTCCTGTATTATCTTCTAGAAGTTGTATAGTTTTGAATCTTAAATTTAGGTCTACAATCCACTTGCAGTTAATTTTTGTGAAAGCTGAAGCTCTGTGTCTAGGTTCAAGTATTATTGTTATTTTTGTCCCTGGCAATATGAAGAAAATAGAAGGCTCTCCTTCCACTCTATTCGTCCTTAAAGGCTGCATTGTAATTCTAGTTTTCTTGGTATTTAATACCTAAACACCCATATAAGTACTTTGTGAGCAGGAAACTTATATTTCCCCATGCATATTGGGATTATTTTCCAATTTCTTTTAAGGTCTAGAAATGGGACCAAGTGCTAATAATCATACATGGGTGATCAGAGTTTGAACTTGAACCTTGTGCTTCTCTGACATTGGACACACTCCAGAAAGAGTCCTGTGGAAGTGGAAAAGGAAGAAGAGAATTCCCACTGACTATGTCAGCCTCCAATATAACCTCAACTCATCCAGCTGCCTTCTTGTTGATGGGGATCCCAGGCTTGGAGCACCTGCACATCTGGATTTCTATCCCCTTCTGCTCAGCCTATACACTGGCCCTTCTGGGCAACTGCACTCTGCTCTTCATCATCCAAGGGGATACAACCCTCCATGAGCCCATGTACCTCTTTCTGGCCATGCTGGCAGCCATTGATCTGATCCTCTCCACTTCAACACTGCCCAAAATGCTTGCCATATTCTGGTTCAGGGATAGGGAGATCAACTTTTATGCCTGCCTGGTTCAGATGTTCTTTCTTCACTCCTTCTCCATCATGGAGTCAGCAGTGTTGTTGGCCATGGCCTTTGATCGCTATGTGGCCATTTGCAAGCCACTGCACTACACCACGATGCTGACCAGGCCCCTGATCACTAGGATTGGCATGGCTGCTGTGGCCCGGGCTGTGACACTAATGATTCCACTACCCTTTCTGCTCAAGCGCTTCCACTATTGCCGAGGCCTAGTGATTTCCCACTGCTACTGTGAGCACATGGCTGTGGTAAGGCTGGCCTGTGGAGACACTCGCTTCAACAATATCTATGGCATTGCTGTGGTCATGATTATTGTGGTGTTGGATCTTCTGTTTGTTATCCTATCCTATATCTTTATCCTTCGGGCAGTTCTACAGCTTGCCTCTCAGGAGGCTCGCTACAAGGCATTTGGGACATGTGTCTCTCATATAGGTGCCATTCTATCCTTCTACACACCTGTGGTTATCTCCTCAGTTTTGCACCGAGTGGCCCGCAGGGCAGCCCCCCATGTCCATATTCTTTTTGCCAATTTCTATATGCTTTTTCCACCCATGGTCAACCCCATTATCTATGGTGTCAAGACCAAGCAGATTCGTGAGCGTGTCATAGGATTGTTTCTGAGAAAGGATGTATAAATGTAGACCAGAGGATGGATGGAGAAGTGTGGGACAGTTTGAATGTTGGGAGTGAGATGAAGCATAGTAAGAAGTGAAGTGAAGGACTGGCAGAATCTCCATGTTTAGTTATTTTTTCAGTATAATTAAAAAAATAAATGATATCCTGAAATTTATAATTTTTTGTTAAGGACTCAAGTCTCTGTCCCCAGGTAGCCTCTGGACTCAAGTTGGTGATTTTGGTGTGTCTTCACAGAATCCTCTCTTATCAGATTCTTGACCCGCTAACTTCCCAAAGATCTCACCTAAAGACAAAAAGACACTTCAAAATTCATTTATTTAAGAGAAGATTTTGAGCATCTTAGCTTCTATTCCAAGTAATTGGGAATTTGATGGACTATCCACTCAGGACCTGAGTGAGGACCAACATTACACATGTGATGCAGGACTTTCTCCTTAGTCACTCTGACAGGTGATGTTTAACTTCTGCCTGAACAGTCCTGTGTTGGAGCTTATGACCCTCCTGTGCTGCAAGTTCCAAGTCAGACAATTCAGCTTCTTGGAAAGTTATTTCTTCACCAGAACCAGCCTATATATCCTTTGTTTTCTTCTTTTGATCTCTTCATCCTCCTGGCTAATCCCTCTCATTAAACACATTGAATAAGACATATTTTCTGACATCTTTTTGTACATCATACAACTCCTTTTTGCACATAGATGTATTTTATATTTTCAACAAGAATGTGAGTCCCTCATTTACTAATCCATTCACAAAATATTACTGAGCACTGACAATGTGCTAAATCTGTGCTCAGTACAGGGGATGCATAGACTTCTAAGGCAGGGATGCTGCACTTATATATCTGTTCTGAGGTAGAAAAGGAAGCGATAATCACAGTATGTTTTGACCCCTGAACTCCCCACCAAGAAGCCCAGCATAGTGGAAGAAATACAAGCATGGAAAAACAAATGGGAGGTAGGAATACTGATATGTGTTTCTCTCTTTTTTCTTTTTCTCACACAGAATCAGATACTAGAAGATTCCCTTATCTTAATCCTGACAAGTGTAACTTTGCTGCTCACACATGCCCTCATACTCCATTTTCCACACAAGCCCTCATACTTCATCTTCCACAAATGCATTCTTCTTGTGATATTTTTGTTTCCACAGGGACTACTGTTTATAAATTATAAGCCTATGCCCATGTCTATATCTATATCTATATCATTGCTGTATTTTATTTAGCCTTGAAAGATGATCTCTAAGCCCATGTCAACTGGAGTGTGGAAGTTTGGGAGTTGTCCTGGAAGGAAGGATGTGGCAAGAACTTAAAAGTCCTAGTTTCCCTTGTTTCCCACCTCTGTGTTCAAGATTTCCTCTGACATGTGATCAACACTCTACCCCAGGGTCATGATATTCTACCTTTAACGCCTTTGTAGTCACAATCCCTTGCTTGTTTCTTCTGTGGACAGCTAGGGCAAGTTGGACACTTACAAAAACCTTTGAATATTAACAACATATAAATAAACATAGTTGTTGCTAGCTACTGAGCCCTTGGCTCATGGTGACTTCATGCACAATGGAAGGAATGATTCCTAGTCCCGTGTCATCCTCATGATCACATGTGGATCATGCTGTTGTTATCCATAGGATTTTCATTGGCTGATTTTTGGAAATAGATCATCAAGACTTTCTGCCTTTTTTTCCTAGTCTATTTAAGTCTGGAAGCTCTGATAAAACTGATAAAATCTTTCAGCATCACAGTAACTTGCAAGCCTCCACTGACAGATGGGTGGTGGCTATGCATGAGGCGCTTTGGCATGGTATTGAATGCGGGTCTCCTACATGGAAGGCAAAACTTCTAAAACTGAACCACCACTGCTCCCTTTAAACTAACATCCTTAATGTTAATAATCACACTTTTACCTTCTTCCCTTTGTTTCATTACATTATGTCAGTGTTGCTAATTTCCTCCATGTATGCCATTCAGAAGCTCTGAAATGATATCTGCAGACGTCCACCCATTTTCTTCTCCTTCTTGTTCTCTGTCAACCCTATTATTAGGAATATATAAGATATTGTGCATCCATTTATCTATTCAAATTGGGGAATAACCTGGTTTGAGGTTTTCAACTCCAGTAAGGAGATAGTAATGTCTCATTCTAGTTCCCATTAGATTAAGATTTCTCACACAATCCTCCATCTTTTTTCTGGGGCAAGCTAAAAGGACTGGAAAATCTTGTAAACATGGTTGAAATTTTCTAAACCTTTACCTTTAAGGTGTTAGAGTATAATTCTAATTTTTATAGACTGTGCTCTACAACAGTCTCAGGGAGGCATTAGAAATTCTGTCAAAAAGTCGAGTAGAAATGATCTTACTTCTTGTGGTCTGCCTGCTTGTGCTTATTATGCTTAGTTTTAGGAAGTTAAATAAGTAAGGAAGGGTGTACTATAGTATGAAACCCATGCCTTCATTTTCTCTCTCCACTTTCTGATATTGGCTCTACACTGCACAAAAATCTCATGATCAAACAGAATAGATTAGCATTTGTTGGAGATTCTTATCCCTACAGATCAGGCAGGATCCAGGGATTGTGGGACTTCCCCAGTCAGAGCCTTTTCCTGTCATCACTAAACATCTGGATGTGTCATAGATGATGCAGAACAGTCACCTGGGTTGAGCCCCGGCCTTAAGGATGTGTAGAAGTCTCTCTCGGATCTGCTTAGTGCGGACAGCATATACAACTGGGTTGAGGATAGGTGGAATGAGGAGATAAAAGTTGGCCAGAAGGATATGGATATGGGGAGGCACATGATGGCCAAATCTATGGGTGAGAGAGGAAACAGCAATGGGGATATAGAAAACAAGGATGGCACAGATGTGAGAACCACATGTTCCCAGGGTTTTAAGCCTGGCTTCAGGGGTTGTCAGACCCATCACAGCCCTGAAAATCATCACATAGGAGGCAGTGATGGCTAATGAATCCAAGATCAATACCAGGAAGCCAATTCCCATTCCATATAAGTTGTTGACTGTTGTGTCACCACATGCCAGGGTGACCACAGCCATGTGCTCACAATAGGAATGGGCAATTATTTGGGTCCGATAAAGGGGCAGCCTCAGGCGGATCATCAGGGGCAGGGGGCTAATGTACACTATCCCCCGGAGGAGGGCAGCCAGCCCCAAATAGCTCACTACTTCATGGGTGAGCACTGAAGTGTGGCGTAGTGGGTCACAGATGGCCACATAGCGATCAAAAGCCATGGCGAGGAAGATGCCTGACTCAACAGTGGCGAAGCAGTGGATGAAGAACATCTGGGCCAAGCAGGCATCCAGGCCAATGTTGCAGGCACCAAACCAGAAGATGGCCAGCAGTTTGGGCATGGTGGAGGTTGAAAGGACTAAGTCAATGATGGCCAACATGCACAGAAAGAAGTACATGGGCTGATGTAGGCTGCGTTCTACCCTTATCACTGCCAGGATGGTCACATTCCCCAGCACAGCTACCAGGTACATGGAGCCAAAAGGGATGGAGAGCCAGATGTGCAGGGATTCCAACCCTGGGATGCCAGTTAGCCAGAAAGAGGTAAGTACCGAGCAGGCATTATTAGAGGTAAACATGTTTGGGGATGTGGTATATCCAGTAGACAGAAGCTCTTAGTTTAGATTTCTACCCCTGTGTAAGATATTGCCTCTGGAAACTGTAGGCTAGCTTCTCATTTCCATCCCGGGCAACTGGTGGAACCTATAATAGAGAAGATTTCTGTATGCCAATTTGAAAATCAATATATTAAATATTTAAAAAGAAACTATCCATGATATCACCCCATTAAATGTAGAAATAAGCATGCTCATTATTTCTACTATGAAACAGTCCTGCTACACTGTACAAATCCCCCCAAAATGTGCATCCTCATTGACTGAGCTAGTTTGCTTTAGGGAACTTTCCCTAAAGTAAATGGGAAATACATAAACGTTTATGTGCATGACTAAATGCAAATCCATGTAATGTGCTCATTCCAGGGCCTGCATATACTTCCATTATCACTGTATCAGCAACAATAGTACTAACATTGACAACAAACGCTGATTAGTTACTTGCAACTACTGATTTTTATCCTAATAAAAAGTTGGATACATTATGTGTTAAAAAAAAATTATTACTTATATTCTAGTACAACTATTTAGTGAATTACAATTATTGTATTGATAATACTTTTAGAGCTATGTATTTACCTGGAATAATGTTTACATCAAATGAGGAGATGGCAGAAGGCAGATCAAGCTATGATATAATTTCATTAAAATGTATATGTATGTGTCACATAGATACTTACTCTTAAATAAAAAAAAGTCTGGGAAAATTTGCACAAAGTTATTATTTGTTGATTTTGGAGAGGTGTGATTATTGGTGCTTTTAATTTCCTACCTTCTTATACATGTATATTTTTCCTTTTAGAAATGACTAAGGGTTTTAAAAACAAGCTTATAAATAATAAAACTTGGTCAAAAACATAAGGGGACAATTTACTAAGGAAAATGTTAAAACCAAAAAAACCCAAACCTATTGCCATCAAGTTCATTTGGACTCACACTGAGCCTGTAGGAAAGGAACAATTGCCCCCTAGGGTTTCCAAGGCTGTAAATACTTCCAGAAGCAGACTGTCACAGCTTTGTCCTGCACAGCAGTTGGTAGATTTGAGCCACTGACTTTCAGTTGGCAGCTGAACACTTAACCACTGTGCCACCAGACCTCCTCAAATGTCATATTAAACCAAAAAACCAAACTCACTGCCATTAAGTTGAATCTGACCCACAGTGACTCCTCTAAATCTGACTCATAGCGACCCATTACTAAAAAGCAGCGGTTTCCGAGGCGTATCTCTATGGAAGTAGATTGCCCAGTCTTCCTGCTGAGGAGTGGCTGGTGGGTTTGAACTGCCAGCCTTCTGGTTACCAGTCAAATGTTAGTGAAGTACAACTTCCCCTTTCTCTAATGAGATTCACACTGGTTAGCTAAGAATGTCAAATCTAAGGGACAGCTTCAAAGATGTCACAGGTCTTAGTGTTTCAAAGAAAAGGATCTTTTATTTAAGGTCACCCAGATTTCATGGATAAACAGAATGAAGAAGAACGAATGAAGTCTGTTAAGAAAAGTTTACTTTAAGGAAAGACTATTAACCTTTTTTTTTTTTAACAGAGAATCTAAGAATCACCTATAATTTGAGGTAAGTCACAGAAGAGGTACGCCATTTTATGAATAAATCTCTCTGGGAAATTTGCACATTATCTGGTAACAGGATTCAAAAGAAGGGACTACTATAAAATAGCCAACAAGGTCTTCTTATTAACTACATTCTTCTTGGCTCCTTTTCTTTAAAGAGATGAGGACGGTTGGGGAAGGGAACTGGATGTGGGGAGGATCAACCCCTTCTTGTCCTTCAGCCTTTCAGATACCTCTGACTAAGAATCTAGCAATGACTCCTATGGTTCACTGCCTCAGCGTTCAAAATCTGAGAGCACACAGCCCAAGGATTTGTCCCTGCCTTGCCTTGGGCCTGCTTTCCTGATCTTTCCCATCTAGTTCCTGGCAAGTCAGCAGGTCTCAGAAATCCCACACTTGCCATAAGACTTTCTTCTCACAGCCATGTTTTTGCTTCCCTATCTCTTGAGTTTTTGCCCAGGCAAAGTTCCCCCATCCTTCAAGCCCAATCCTCTATCACCCCTCATCCATTCTGGAAGATGCCTTCTGTGGCATCTCTAGTCTATATCACAGTGGATAGGTAAGGAAGAAAGAGAACATAAACACAAAAATCCCTTCAAATTATCTTAAGCAAACATTTTTTTTTTTTTTGGCCTAAATTATAAGCAGTAGTTGTATGTCCACAGCATACAAGCATAAGAGTTACCCTAATGTCACCTTAGGAGGTCCTTCATTCAGGCTCCAATGCACAGTTCAAGTTTTTATGTTTGCTTACTTCCTGGTCAGGCATTGACTAGATGCTAAAAAGCAATGAAAATCTGTAAATTTTAAAATGGCTAATTTTTTTTTTTTTTTAATTAACTCTCACTGACTCTTCAGCAATTCTGTGAAACTATGCCAATAACATAACAACTGTGAAATCAATTCCTCAGGAGTCAAATGTAAGGTTATGCTGAATCTATCAGATAAAATGGCAAAGAGAGGTGTTAGGAGGCAGCACCTCACAGAAATTCAGGCCACTAACTTTGTGATCTAACCAAATCTTCCTACTTCAGATTTTCATCTTTCTCTGTGAGTCTGAGCAAATTACTTAACCTCTTGAAGTCTCAGTCCTTTTCATACTTAACACAGGGAGAATACCTATTGCACAGGAAGTATAATGAGCACATGAGGTAAATGTGAGACTTTTGTCACATGGCAGCAGCTTCCCTATCCTGAGTTAAATGTGAAGGTTAGACCAAAAATCTACAAATTGGAATAGTTTCCTTGTGTTTGTTACATGGGATATTTTAGAGGATTAATCAAAAGTGCAGGATTTATAGGAATAGGGTAGAGACTTAAGGGGAACACTGGTCAACACACTATGTTATCACACTCAAGGAGGATGTCTGAAATATTCCATAAAAATATTGCATTGGATCACAATCCTGAAGTAGAAAGGGGTTTAATTACTCAATACTGGGGTAAACCAAGATAGTGGCTATTCATCACACACACACACACATACACACACACACACACACTCACACAACAGTGTCCAGGGCATGGTCTTAAACCTAGGTTCCTAACTTTTGTTTGTGTTAGACCCCATTCAGCCAATTAATTTGTAATTAAATTATAGACTTGAAGAGAATATGAGCAATAATATACACCAAGTTGACAACTGAAATCTTAAGTGGTGTTCTGAGCTACAGAGAAATATTTTCTGCATCAACCCGTTAATGGGGATCCTTACCTGAACACTGGTGACTTGCCTATGTGTCCTGGGAGAGGCATTCTGAAGGTGGGTTTGTGTATCCAGGAAAAGACTTTTTGTTTTGGTCAAATAAGCATGGATTAGACATAGGTTCAAATACAAATTCCACTGTTTCCAGCCCTATGACTTTAGGCAACTTAATCTCTCAGCCTCTGTTTTTGATTCAGTTTCCTACTCTGTGAAATGGGAAGAGTAAACTACCTTAGGGTTGTTTAATGTGTTAAGTAAAGTGTATATAAATGTGTGTGTGTGTGACCAGAAGGCAATATGTCAGGACCTGGACTCTGGAAAAGGCACAGTATTCCCTCATTGCTCACTCCTCTTCTGTTCTTTGCTCCCTTTCACCCAACACAGATATACAGTGCAGTATCTATACAACTCTAGTGACTCCATGCCTTTCTACCACAACTGTGCAAATAGTCTGTTTAACATGGATACAATCAACTGACGAGACCTGCTGATGATGTAGGGATTAGGTCAGGAGGGAAGGTTGCCCAACTATGAAGCAAAAAACAAGAAGCCCTATCTGGCTGGAGTAGTTTGATGTGTGATGGAGATATTAGGCAAGCTAGCTCACCCCATGGTGTTTCACTTCTTTGCCTCACAACCCAGGCTAGCTTATACCAAACTTGATTCTTATACTTTTGACTAGCACTCTGAAGAACAGTCCTGGATGGACCAAAGGAAAAATACAGCTTCTGGAACTTGAAGACTGCTTCCAGTGACTTTGGCCCTCTCTCTGAAATGTACGTACCCACTGGAATGCTGTCTACAGAGGTCTAGGCTTTGTTCTTCACAGTGGTAAATTCTGTACTGAGGTTTAGATACATTCAGCTCACAGTCAAGAGAAAGCTGTGACTTCTGTCTCTTCACCGCTTTCTCCTATGTCCCCTTCTTACTCAGATCCTGAAAATAGCCAGTTATTTCCCAAGGGTTGCATAGAGAAACCTGCCCCCTTTCCTCTGAACTTTTAGTTACCCCCTTGGGAGCAGCCTTCACTCTCCATTCTACTCTACCTCTCAGGACTAGAACTCAGACTTTCATTGGCTTGTCCAGGTCTCTGTCTAGCCTCTTCTGGGCCTGAGGTACCCACTCAATAGCTCTAAGGAGGATGTCAGGAGAGAGTTCACTAAAGAAGAGTGGAAAAAAACATCAGATACTGGTATGACCAATACAGGCATTTTTTGGGGGGTTAATCATTGCTTCTATTATTATTTTAAAACAATATAAAATCTAGGCTATACAAAGGAAGAGCCAAGTACTTAGATATAACCTTTACCAATATTGTAATTTTTCATTCTGCTTCTGCTTTTTTTTTTTCTATTCATGTGCTTAAAAATAATTATTGACAATCACAATTGCAGCAGCTGTTTGCCCATTTCTCTGTCTTACTTTACCTAAACATCCAAGAGTAGTGGGAAGCCTAGTTTTTCACCCATAGCAAAGTGGCACAAACATATTTTTCAACACTCTTTTCCTACTCAACTTTAGAACAGAATTCCAGAAGGGAAATTATCCACCATTTTGTAAGCTCGGAAATACTACTGTGAAATTGCTTTCCAAAAGCACTTTTCCAGTTTGCTCTAATCTAGCAATAAATGAGTTCATTTGCCAAATTTTCCTGTAGTAATTTTTAAAATATCCATTATGTGGATTGGCATA